ACGCCAGTTCCGACTTACATACAGATTCAACTTAAGAACAAACCTACAGTCCCTATCTTGTACATAACCTGGGGACTGCCTGTATATATGCAACATGTGCAAATAGTTTCTTTCACACTGATGGGCATGAATACAAAGACTACACAACACGCAGGCCCCATTTAAGTCAGTTCTGCTGATATTAATAAAATGCAATATTTACCCGATTTCCACCCATATGACAGCACTTTTAATGAGCAATGACCGTCCAGGAATTTAGTTACTAAAACACATATCAACAGAAGACCGTTATATTGACTACTTTTTTGTTTTGGCTCCCACCTGTGGGCCAACATGTTGAGCCCTCGCATAAACCCAAACTGCACCGCGGGCCGCAAACAAACAGGCCACGAGCCACATGCAGCCCATGGGCTGCATGTTGAGTAGCCCTGATCTACACTCTACTAAGCAATCCCATTCATCAGCAAAAGTAAAGGAAATTCACAACTTATACTAGGGATGTTAAATATTGGTTAATTGAATAGTCGATTAATCTCATGAATTCTTAGGTTACTTGACTATTTTATAGTCCCCGGGGGTGGGGCCAGCACCCAGTCACTCCAACCCCACTCCAGAGGAGCCTCCTACCAATCCACAGTGCTGCCTCCATATCAGAAGCTGCAGTATGGGGTGCCAGGAGGAAGCTGGTCTGTGAGGGAAGCCAGTTTAAAAACCAGCTCCCCTCACAGACCGGCTGCCTGTTGCCGTGATGCTGCCTCTGATACAGAGGCAGTAACGTAGGGTGGCAGTAGCACCTTTCCAGGGAGGGTTTGAGCTCCCAAACCCCATGCAAGCTGGAACTGAGACAGGCTGACTGACTGCCTTTCCTGTCTCCTAATGCACTTTAAATGCAGAGCCACAGCAGGGATACGTCCCAGACCCGGAACTGAGCCACGCTGCTGGCCAACCTGCTAAAAAATTTACTGACGAGGGGAGGGGACCAGTCTTTAGTCTTTAGCATTAACTTATAAGCTTGTGATTACTGGTTAATCAACTACACTATTACATCCCTAACTTATACACACAAAATCAGAGTCCAGAGTTCTTTTTGCAGTTGAAGTCAATGGGAGCTGGTTTCACAGACTGGTACCTCAAATAGGGATATTAATAGGTAGTCAGAGCTAAACAGTTACCCAGGAGCAGGCCCTATCCCCACCTGCAGCTCAGCCCCATGCTGGGGCTGCTGGCTCACAGTGAAAGCACAGGTTAAGGATTATGTAGACAAGTGGGACACGAGCAAGTCCCCGGGGCCAGGATCTAATGCACCCAGGGGTTCTGAGAGAGTTGATTGATGTAATTGCAGAGCCACTGATCATTATCTTTAATAACTCATAGCGATCAGAGGAGGTCCCAAGCAACTGAAAAAAGGAAAAAGATGGGCACCACGTTAAAAAAAAAAAAAAGAGAAGAAAAATATGATCTGAGGAACTACAGGCTGGTCAGTCTCACCTCAGTTCCTAGAAAAATCATGGAGCAGGCACTTAGGGAATCCATTCTGAAACACTTGGAGGAGAAGGTGATGATCAATAACAGTCAAAAAGGTTTCACCAAGAACAAGTCAAGCCAGGCCAACCTAATTGCTTTCTATAACAAGATAGCTGGCTCTGTGGAAATGGGAAAAGTGGTGGATGTGACGTATCTTGACATTAGCAAAAGTTTTGATATGGTCTCCCACGGTATTCTTGCCAGCAAATTAAAGAAGTATGGATTGGATGAATGGACTATAAGGTGGATAGAAACCAGCTTGATGTCTAGTTGGCAGTCGGTATTAACTGAAGTACCCAAAGTGGCTGGTTTTGTTCAACATTTTCATTAATTACCTAAATCGGGGTGAGCAAAAGGGCCTCCGCAGGCCAGATCAAGCCTGCCACACCCCTCCCACAAGCAAATCAGAGCTTAGGTACGGGGGAGCACGCAGCACTTACAGTCAACCACCAGGGTTGACTGTAAGTGTCATGTCTCTCACTCGCTGCCCTCCAGCACTTCATGCTCCCGCCTCCCCCAGGCCAATCAGGGACTAGGGGCGGGGGAAAGTGTGCAAAGCCTCCTCCTGCCCAGCAAGGGGCTCGGCCCTTGTAGTCAATCACTAGCTTCTCCTTAGCTGGTGGGTGATTCTAAGCATCGCGTTCCCTTGCAGGGTGGGGGCAGGCTTCACATGCTCCCTCTGCCCTCAGGCCCTGATTGACATGGGAGAAAGAGAGGGAGTATGTGAAGTGTCCTTCTACAGCCAGAGGCGCAGGCGCATAGAAGGAACCTCTCTGTGGGGGGCCGGAGCAAAGACTTCACGCACTCCCCCAGGCCAATCAGGGTCTGTGGGTGGGGAAGCACGGAAGTGTCCTCACCCCTTCCCTTCTGGGGTGGCCTGGGGCCACTTCAAAAATTTCTGAAGTGGCCCCTGGTCATAAACTATTGCCCACCCCGACTTAGATGATGGGATGTACTGCATGCTCAGCAAGTTTGCAGATGACACTAAGCTGGGGGGATAGATGGACACATACCGTACAATAGGGATAGGGTTCAAAGGGACCTAGAAAAATTGGAGGATTTGGCCAAAAGAAATCTGATGAGGGTCAACAAAAACAAGTGCAGAGTACTGCACTCAGAACAAAAATTCACAGCTGCAAGATAGGGACCAACTGCTAAGTAGCACTTCTGCAGAAAAGGACCTGGGGATTACAGTGGATGAAAAGTTGGATATGAGTCAACAGTGTACTCTTGTTGCCAAGAAGGCTAATGGCATATTGGGTATCATTTGTGGGAGAGAAGGAATATTCC